CATATAAATAAATAAAAATAAATCAAAACAACCAAACGTAACGATCTGATAAAAACAAGATAAATAGAAGGAGAAAGAAAATAAGGAAACGGAAGGGTGCGAGTACGGGTCAGCACGACTTAGGCCGCCTCGACTCGTAAGATCCCGCGGTACCAGCGACAAGAATCATTTGAACCGTGACGCACGCGAGGGAACAACAATGGCGGCCGTTCTCGTTCGGTCAACAGGTTAAAAAATCGCCGCTTGAAAATTGCATCGCGGTGGATTCTAAGAGAGAGAAAGCGATAGAGAGCATCTCTGTCTCGAACGAAACGTAATAACAATATTCTTCTCGCAACGAAAAAGTTAATCGTCGCTGCGTCGACCCGGTTCTTTTCCTTTTTCACGGAGCTACGCGCGTCTGCTTGCTCAGCGCCGTGAGAGCAGGCGTATCGAAGAAAAGGAGAAAAGAAACTGGGGGAAAAGGAAACGAGAAGAGAGAGAGAGAGAGAGAGACGGGGCAAGAGAAAAGTGGAGAAAATAAAAAAGATATCGGACAGGGACGTAACAGTTGCGCCGAGGGTGTGTATCTGCGTGCACTGAAGCAGAAAGGGAAAAAATCGAGATCGTTAACGAAGGATCGACCGATCGAATCGGAACTGCGATAATAATATGTCACTTTCTTTTTTTCATTTTTGTCGTCCCCTTTTCGTTTAGGTAATCCCTACTAGAGCTAGAACTATCGGTTATTTACAATTGTAACAAGCTACAAAATATGTATCGCTATATGTATATGTATATATATATATATATAATTAGGAGCTGCGCGGACATATGCACGGAGGCTTTAAATCACAGCTTTGTAGTACGATTAGTATATCATTTTCTCGTTTTTCGTTTCGTCTCGTAGAGCTGCGCAATGACTAGCTAGCGTGAAGGACATATCGTGTATTCTCGTACTCTCATTGCACCTGCGGTATCCCCGAACTGAAAAGAGCGTTTCGTTCGCCAGCTCCTACGTTCCCTCCTCTTTTCCGCCTTAACGTTCCCGATTTCCCGCTGGCGGTACGGGAAACGAGAGAAGACAGAGGGAGAAACGGAGAGAAACGTTTTTCGGTTCTTCCCTGTACCGTGATCCTCCCCCGCGACACGCTTTACGCGAGTAAAATCAGTCTTGCCCGTGCGACTCCTTGCCCCGTTTAAAAATCGAAAAGCCTCGGGCATACGCGCGCATAGAAATTGTTCTTCCCTTTTGTTCGCTGACGAAGACTCGAAGAGAGAAAACGAAAAGGGAAAAGAAAAGAAACGGACCACCCCCGCGATCGCGTGGAAGGAAGTTCGAGGCACGCCAGCGCGAACATTGTTTCAACCTCTGTTCCTTTCTTTCCCCCGCGTGTTTTTCCTGCTTCTTTCCACCGTTTCCCTTTCCATCGGATCGCTTCTTCACTTGCGCGTCTCTCGTATATCGAATGATCGACGTCTAGTGTTGTAAAACGCTGGAGTCTCCAAAACTTCGATGTTCAACCTTGAGATTCCTATGAATCTCGGGTCTTCGAAGCTTCGAGGCTCAAACTTGAAGGCGGAGTCTTCAAGGCTCAAAGTTCTATGAAACTAGAGCGTGAGGCTCAACCTTAAAGGCTGAGTCTTCGAAGCTTCACGGCTTAACCTTGAAGCTTTAAAAGCTTGATCCAAACCTTAAGCGCAAAGACTCGAACGTGGACTTTAGCTTTCAAAGCTGGTACAGCTTTCAAGACTCGAGACTCGGGTCTTGTTTTCACAACACGACGTTGCCCTCGATCGCGAGGGGGACGAGAATTACGTTCGCGGGTCGACTAGCGTCTGTCATGGTTCCCCCGCTCGTGTTCCTAAGTTTTATTCTTTCCCTTTTACCCCTTCTCGCGGCGTCGAAATCGACGATTCGCAGTGGCGACGCGGATAATAGTCGACAACGCGTGAATCGACGGTCGCTAGAAAAACTAATCTCTAACAGAGTGGCGGAGAGAAAAAAGAGAAGAAGAAGAAGAAGAAGAAGAAGAAGAAGAAAATAGAGAAAAAAAAACAGAGAGAAAAATGATAGATCAACAGCCCTGGCTATTACACTCCTAGTACTTAGAACTAACGATCTGCACATCCGCTCATCGTTCTATAATACATCCGTATGTATATGTATATGTACGTATATACAATATGTTGTCTGCGTGTACATACAATACACTTCGATATGTGAAAAGTAAGTACACCCATGGAACTGATTCAAAGCTCGCGCGAGCTCTCGTGCCGGGTTCAATTGATTCTTGCCGGTCGGGTCGCGCGGAGATCGGCCGGCACGCGGCAAGAATCATTCGATCGACGCGCACAATAGTCCTACTTGTGGTAAAGAGAGATACACCAACACCGAAGCGTTCCTACTGTTCTGGGCAACGTACACGGTGTTCGGTATAAGAGAAATCGGTGATAGAGTGGGTGGGCGGTGGGAAGGAAACGAAACGGGAAAGATAAAGGGTGGTCAGGGTAGGGGAGGGGAAGAGGTTGGTGAAGGAAGAAGGACGGTCACGTGTGTGAACAAACTGAATATTCCGAAGAAGCTAATCAGAGAAAAACATGATGACCGCGTCACGGGTCCTACCAATACACGCGTCCTATGCCGCTAAAACGAAGTTTTCGTGTCTTCTAAGGATCATAATCGTAATCATAATAATAATCATAATAATAATCGTAGTAGTAATAGTAGTTAATTAATAATAGCGATAATAATATATAGCTCGTGGGAGATATCGGTGGTGAGTGGTAGGGGCGGTGGCGGTGATAATGGTGGTAAATGGTAGTGAGAGTATTAGTAAGAGTAGTACTAATAGTTGGTAGTAATAGTAGTAGTAGCAGC